TAAAGCAGCTTGCTCAATTTTGCCTGAACTTTCTAAACCGATTTGTATCCGAGATGAGACAAAGCGCGGATGCTGGCTGCCCGAGGATGATGGGATTCGAGGGAGTTTCGGTCCGTGGGACCCTACGGGGCTGGGCTGCCCTCCTGCCCCTCCATCTGGTCTGCTGATTATTTTACAGCATTGCACAGCTGGTTCAGCAGCTCTTTTGGGGCTATTTACACCTTTTTTTCCCCCCCTGCAGGTAAATCCAGTAGTACCAAATCCTGCCCGACCCTGGGAGGGTAGTGAGCACACCGCTGTCTAGTCAGGCAGCTCTCTGTGGCCCCTATAGCTGTGCACATATGCCATAGGGGATGCCGTGGGGTGTGCATGGCTCCTGCATTGGGCAAACTCTTTTTCCTGGGAAAGGAAGAGCCCAGGTGTTGCGAGATGCTCGGGGCACAGCCGGATTCAGGGTGCACAGTGTCTGTACCAGGTCTCCGGTTGGGATCTGGGATCCCCTGTGGTTCACACAGCTCTTCCGGGTGCCAGGCACTGGCCCCAGTACTGGGGCATGGAGAAGGGCAGGATCTGGCCCTGATGGACTAGTAGGACGGTGGCAAATGTCACTGCTAACTGGGAGAGAGCTCCAGCTAAAAACAGTGTTTGGGGACACATGTGAGAGCTGAGCAGTGGGGAGGCACGATTCCCGTCCTGGGGCTGCCGGTGCATCCCGGCTTCAGCATTTTCTCTTCTGACCGCTTGGCTTGGGGGGTTCCCAGTGGGTCCTTGTCACCCGAAAATACTCACCCCTTCTACCTGGGCATGGGGCTGGGGACCCCCATCAGGCAATCGCATGTCATACCCTATTTTTCCCTCCCAATGCCCAGCTCCACCATCCAGCTGGGGAGCATAAATCAGCTCCCGTGCCCGGGCTCGCCTCAGAGCTGGCGTGAAAACCCTGTCAGCCTGACGGAGGATGGTGTTTGGATCCGTCTGAGTTCAAAACCTCCTGTTTGGTGATGACACGCAGAAATAATCTCTCACTTGGCATCCGGGCAGCAGTTTGGGTTATTTGTTTGGGGTCTGGCTGCTGGCGGTGAATAACAAGCCACTGCCGATGCTCTGTCTGCAAGTGTGTTTCACTGAGTGAATGGACCGGCTCTAAAACCTGCCCTTTCAAACCAGATTAATCGCATTAGGCTTTGTCAATGCAAAAATTACCTCATCATTGGCACTGGCAGGTGGTGTAGAGCAGCAGACTTATTCAATATTTAAGAAAGCTGCATTGCAGAGCTGAGAAGGCTGGAGAAATAGGTTGCCTGTGTCAGTGTCTTTGCTGGTGGAGATGATCGCTGCAGGCACTGCCAAGTGTGAAATGTTGAGCTCACTGTAAAAACCTGATTATTGCACTGGGAGTCTTTAAAATACCGAATTTTCTGTTTTCTACCCCAGTACGTTATTTCCAGATGGCTAAACCAGTGTGTTTGGGCAGCCCTGTAATGGTCTCTCTTTGCAGATGCCCAGTTGGTGGTGGCAGTGTGGGTATCTCCGCTGGCTTCGGGTCCTGCCCAGGGCACCAGCAGCCCCGTGTCCCTCCTGGTGCCCACGGAGCACCCATGGGGCTCCTGCTGCCTTTCCCTGCCTGCCCAGGGCTGCTGGAGGGTGAGGGGGACCTGCTGGTTGCTGACACTGCATCTGCTGGATTTTGGGTGCTGGCGGTGGGCCCGTGAACGGGCACCTCTTGGCTCAGAGTGACCAGCGTCTGCGCGCGGGATGACAGCGCCAGTGGCTTGAGGAGAGGCAGAGTGATTCACGGAAGGCGTTCAATCCCTTTTTATTAAGGCATGATCAAATTCATGGGCTCCATCATACAGAAGTAATGGAGCGGCGTGATTAGAGTCATGTGACTCTTCCTTAAGGCCAGAAATTAAGACCTCGCTTCTATTCCTGGCTCTGCCTAGGACGTGCCACGTTTGTGCCGGCGGGCACTGCCGCCTTGCTCCTCCCGACCTCTGCCTGTAATCGGGGAATCTTGAGCAGCTGGTGCCACGTGGGGACGAGGGGGCTCCTCGCATCCCCCTTGATGGCAGACCTGGGGGGAGCAGGTCCCAGGACCCTTTGGGGACAGCCAAACCCTGGTAGGTCTTGGCATCATCCTAGGATGGGATATTTCCATTTCATTAACTAAATGCTGCTGCATCCTATTGATCACGACTTGGATTGCCACATCCTTTTGTTTGTGAGCAAGGATTTGGTGGGGGGAAAAAGACACCGTAAGCTGTTATTTTGTTCTTTACTGCGCACTAAAAATGCGGAACCAAGCGTTAGGACAAGCAAGAGTAGTTGCTGGAAGTAATGCAAAGTAGATCTTCAAAATCTATTATTTGTAGGCAGAGGGAAAGGCTTGTGTATTCCTCCAGGAGCCGTCCCCTGGCTCTTCTCCATCCTCAACAAAGCGAAACACCCGTGGACTCTCTATTATTAGCAGAAAGTTCTAGTTGGGGGAAGGAGTTCTCCCTCCCTGCCAACTGAAGTGCTGGTTCTTGCTCTACCCTCTTTGCTAGGAAAAAACAGAGATTTTCCCCTATTCTTTGCGGGGCCAGGGCGGCTGCTCCTGCTCCGTGTGACCTTGGGCAAATCCCTTACCCACCCACCTCTCCCCCAAAATGGGTGCCAGAAGCATGGTGCTGTCCTTCCTCCTGTGGCACCCCATTAAATCTGTGTCCAGCCCTGCGAGGACCCCCACCCCGCTCCCGGCTGTGACGGGACCCTACATCCCTGGCAGGAGTTTGCTGCTGCAGTGCAGATTGTGGAGCTGGCAGTGGGGACTTAAATGAACAATTTGCTTATTTAACTGACCTTGTCAATCAGAGCCTTCTGGTTTGGCACAGGAATGGTCGCTGTATGAAACCAGCGGAGCACTGATTACCCCATGTGCTTAATTTCTTTTTTTTTTATTTAATGTTTGTGTGTATTTTTGGAAGTTATCAGTGAAGCAAAGGTGAGCCTCAAATCTCTGCTGACTCTTCAGGGAGTGAGGGAGAAATGCCTGTAATATTGCACAGCAGAAAGTGGAGGATAGGAATTATATTTGTCCCCCTTTCTGGGAAAGTTGCACATTTTTTCGTGGCTCAGAGTTTGTGATTTTTAGTAGGGCAGTTTTGCAAGCTCCTGTTTTCCATCTTCTCCTTGGGGCAACCTCCCCAGTGCCTCTGTCGGAGTTTGGCCGAGAGCTGGAGTTGCTTTGTGCCTGCAAAAGTGCATTTGCTGGGTTTGGGCTGAGCTCTGGTCCTGCTGGGGCCCCCTGGCAGCTCTGGGATGCTGGCTTCCGTGCTGGGACCCTGTGGGATGTGGGCGGTTGAGCGGTCCCTTCCAGCCAGGGAGGAATCTGGGACAGTATCTTCCCAGGGCAGCAGGTTTGGGAGGATGAACAGTCCGTGGGCTGGGAGTAGTCTTGTTGCCCGTGGGCTGGGCTCTGCAGAGGGGTTTGGGGTTTTGTGGGTTTTTTTTTTTTTGGTTTTTTGGTTTTTTGTTTTTTGTTCTGCTGCAGACAGGAGGAAGCAAATTCAAATGCAGGTCCTGCGAGCAATGCAGGTGGGAGGCTGCTGCTGTGGGGGGATCCCAGTGGGTACCCCATGCCGGCTCTGCTTCCAGAGAGGAGATAGGCAGGGGGAAAAACCTGCGGATAGGAAATAGTTGAGCTAACAGAAACTTTCCCCATTGGCAGGGGGTCCTAACGAAGTAGGGATTTGTATCCTCGGTGCCTTGTGCTCTCATTAGCGCTGCAGCAAAGCCAAGCCCTTCGTGGATGGATTGCCTTCTCTTTTATTTCCACCTTAGTGACTATAAAGGGAGGCTCAACCTGAGTTTTTCCCTTTGCAAGTGATGTCTCGTGGGCGATGCCATCCACAGACCCGTGAGCTGCACCCTTTGCTCTTGGGGGCCATCCCAAGAGTGGTCCAGGTGTGGCAGTGGCTCCCGGTGTAATCACAGCATCCCCCAGCATCCCGCAGGCTGGGCAGGGGGATGGAGCCTGCCCTGCCCTTGGCTGGGGGACACTGCTCTGCCTGCAGTGTTCATCCTGTGTAAAAGCACTGTTTTTCCCCCAGAAGAGACAATGGGATGGATGGGTCTGTCCCTGTGCCGTGGCTGATGCGGGTTGGCATCAGCTCGGGCTTTGCCATCCAGCCCCCATCACCACGCAGTGAGTAGGGGCAGTGGGTGGAGGGGTAAAACACCCCCAGAAAATGGCAATAAACTAGCACTCAGGCTCTGAATTTTACATCAAATTATTTTTTGATAAAAGCTGTCAGTTTTGCTGAAAGGAGAAAGGTTTGAAGAGGTCCCTTTCATGATGAATCTTTTGGAGATGAGTAGACAGAATATTGTGTTCAGGTCCTGCTGCCACATCCTCCTTCAGTGCCTCTCCGGGTTTCATTTGGCAAAAACTTTAGTAAATAAAAATGCAAAAGGAGGAGTTTTATCCAGGGGGAATGTGGTTTGGGGGAGGACAGCGAGACATGCTGAGCATTGGGGAGAAAATTTCCTAGTTTGTAGATTTTTCTCTGAAACGGAAACATCCTCTTCCCTCCCAGCTCTGAAGCCTCATAATTAATGTGAGGTTGGGTATCTCATTAATTACATCCGCGCCGAGCGTGGCTGCATTGCCCTCCTGGGAGGGTGGTGGTTATAGGCTCCTGCGTCTCGTGCATGATATCGAGGCAGTGACTGAAGTGACATTCCTGTTCCTCTCCCTGCTCTCACTCCTCTTAATGCCAAAAATAAAGCCCTGCCTGGCATGATTTTGTGGGTTTTGTTTTTTTGGTGTTTTTTTTTTTCCCCCCTACAGCCTGGCTGAAAGCACCAGGTTACCTTTGTTGACATCGCTGCTACCTGAGAACACGGGCAGACGAGCAAAGTGATTGACTTCCCTGGCGTGCCGCGTCGGCGCTCATCGGCGGAGCACTGGTGTACCCAAACTCGCTCCGCTTGTCCTCACGTCCTCTCGGCAGCCAGCAATGACTGACGCGGTGGTGGGCGGCAGCTCTGACCGGTGGATGTGCCCCGGCGACAGGACCATGTCTCTCCGGGCCAGGTAAGAGAAGGGGTCTGGGGTCCCTGGGGGGTGGGAGGTGATGCGGGTGCAGCCGCCCCAGTTCTTTCTCTGGGGGGACATTGGGAATTGGGTTTGCGCAGGTTGGCTGGGAACGTTTTGCCACGTTGCCTCCTAAACCCCCTGAGAAAGGTGGTGGGGACAGACCCATGGGTGTGCACTCACCCCGGTGCCCATGAGAAGCCCCATCCGTCTGTCCTGACGCCCTCCAATGCTACTGCTGTGTAGGGTGATGCTGCATCCCACCGCATGGCAGATCTCCATCCCAGCTGGATGGTTGGTGGCAGTACCCATGGATGGGTGCTGGTTTTGGGTGCCCGGACGATGTAGGGGCTGGGCAAAGCTTGTGTTCGGAGCTGCTCCGCATTGCTTTGGAGGAGCAGCGGGGGTCCATGGAGAGGGACATGCTGTCAGGGACCGTCACCCCCAAGGCAGGGAGAGCGCTGGCTGTGTCTGGGCTGAGCTGTCCTCATCCCTTCTCTCACCTAATCCTTGTTCCCTCTCTTTCTCTGTCCCTCCTAGCAGCGAGAAGGAGCAGTAAGTATCTCACTTGCTTTTTTTGGCCTATTGCTCTTTACCTGCTACTCTGATGGTCTTGAGAGAACAGGAAAAACCTTGGTCTGGATGCAAAAAAAAGCAAATAATTTTGGGAAGCACTGCAGAGGGTTTTAATGAATTTAAGGTTTAAGACTGTGCGGGTCTGCTCAGCCCAGGGGGAAAAGACCCAAGATGAGCAGGAAGATGAGGGGAGGAGGGGCATTTGCATCCTTCGTTAGTGTTACCCCTCTGCTGCCTGCTAATTTGCAAGGCTGAGTGGCAGACGTTACTGTGTCACCAGGTTAGAGTTGCCTGATGCCCAGGCTATGCTTGCTGTGCGAAAGGATCTTTGGAAATGAGGTTAGGAGAGGAGAAACTCCCATGTTTGATAAAATGTACCCAAAAAACCAGCCACTCGTGCAGCCATCACCCCGGTACCACAGCTTGCTGGCAAACCTGGTGTTACATGGTGGAGAGCAGGGTACAAAATTAACTGTGTTGGTTGATGCTTAACGTGGAAATAATATTTTTGAAAAGGAAATCAGTTTTCTCCCTATGAAACAAGTATTTCCTTATGACCCCCGCCCCAAATGGAACGAAGAGCTTCCACCTGGAGGGTGGGGGCTATTTGCAGGCTTCCTGCTAGAAGAGAGCTTGGAGGATGGGGAGGTATCGTACTCCTCCTTCCTGTGCTTGGAAATTGGTGCCTGGCTGTTGCCTCCACACACGTGTGGTTGCACGCACGCATGTGCATGCACATACATGATCTGTGGACGAAGCCCTAGCCCACCCCTCTCCTCACAGGCTCCCCACCGGCTGGGCAGCACGGGGCGGCCAGCCCGACCGGCAGCGCAAGAGCGAGGAGCTGACGGACGAGGAGAAGGAGATCATCAACCGAGTCATCGCCCGGGCCGAGAAGATGGAGGAGATGGAGCAGGAGCGCATCGGGTAAGGCGGTGGTGGCGGCGGCATGGGCACCACCGCACCAGCGGGACGGGAGGGACCCCGAGCCTTGCCAGTGCCCGTGGTGGGAAAGCGCTCGCTTGGCTGCTTTCCTGGCCAGCAGCTACTGCACTGCAGTGTTTCTCCTGAAAGGGAGCCTGCGGGGGATCTTTTTGAGCTGGCGTTGGTCCTTGGCCAGGAGGAACCTGTAAGCAGGGGAGGGAGCTGCTCGGTGTGCTGTTGTCGCTCAGCGTGCTGCTGTGTTCTGGACCAAGAATTTATAGTCTCATCAATTTTGTTTTATTTCTTTTTTTCCGTCCAGAAGGGATTATTAATAACATCTCATTTTGGGGGAGTGAAGCTGCTGCTGCTGCTTGCCCAGTCCTGAGCACCCCTGAGCACGGGCAAAGCCACGGCTCACCAAAAGGTGTTTTGTCTTGTTTCGGGAACACGGATGGATCCATCATCCCCTCCAGCTGTGTGTCCCGGCGGTTAATCCCTCCTGCTACCCAGAAATGAGATGTCTGTGAAGCTGAATAGGTCTGAGTGATGCCCAGCCATGGGGCTGGCCATGTGTTGGGACCAGCTCCTGGGGGGACTGGGGTGGCTGGCGCTGCCCTGACTGAATCTGTGGTGGGGTCCCCACAATCCCTGGTGGGTGCTGGGAGCATCCCTGGTGCCAATGCGCCCGGTGTGGAGCAGAGGGCCAGAAGTGCCTGTGTTGGCTTTTACTGCATCTCTACCCTGCCTGGGCAAAGGTGCCAGGCGAAATAATTCTTATAATTAGGTATCAACTTGCTCGCCTGGGGATGGTTTTCCGGAGGGGATCTCCAAAATCCTGTTTGTCAGGCATCATGCCTTTTTTCATTACAGAGGAGCATTTTATTCTTGCTGAGCTTAAGCATCGACTGTCCTTTTTTTTTTTTTTCCTTGCAGGGAACATACTCAGGCCCAGGCAGGAACTGTGCTCTCCACTGCCTCGGAGAGTGTCAAAGCCCCACTCGTAGCTCGGGGACAGCTTTGCTCAGCAAACAGGCGCATGGCTCTGCGGGGCAGCTGCTTGGTGAAATGCGGAGAGGACCTGTCTGTGCCCACAGAGCCTCATGCTGCAACCGGAGCTTTAATCCATCACCCCAGCTGCTTAATAATGCTTAAATATTGAGTGTGCATTTGCGATGCAGTCATGGGAGCTCCAGCTGCAGCACGCAGCCTTCCTCGGTGGCTGCAGCCCGTAGCCTCCGAAGTGGTGGATTTATTTATTTGTTTTTAGAAATACTTTGTTAGGAGCGGGTCTGTGAACAGTTTAGGCAGGTATTGCCTCTCCCTGGCTGGCATTGCCTGGCGTTACAACGTGCAACACTTTCCTCTCCCTGCTTTCTGGCAGAAACCAGGTGAAAGTAGCTATGAATGGTGGGGGATTCATTCCCCAAAATTGCTTGCAAACAGCATTTCCCCAGCTTTGCCCATTTGCAGCCCAGTAAGAATTACCCCCAAACATGATGCTCTTTGGTTTATGCTTAATTCAACTTTAGCAGTGGGGGAGGTGTTTTGGGGTTTTTTTTGTTTTTTTTTTTTTTTCCTGGATTTCTGCAGCTGTTTGCAACCCTGCAGAAACTCTCCCTTTTACCTTCGTTAGTCGAGCCAGAGGAGGTTTTCTCATCCTCATTCATGAAAAAGCTGGGCGGAGGACTTTGTGCCGTACTCGGAGTAGAGCAGGAGAAGGCTGGCGGATGTGCAGTCACAGCTGATTTGCCTCCTGCGTGTAGGCGTAGCAGGAGCCTTGCCAGCTCCTTTGTGTTTGTTGGCTTGCACAACAAGAGCTGTAGGATGTGCAGCTACAGAAATATGGGACAGTGTCTATATCAGTCTCGTACACAATCACCCGTTCAGGAGCTGCTCGGACGTTATCCAGAATAGCTCCTTATATTACAAAATAATCCGGGTTTGCCAGGCTGGCCTCTGGCAGGGATGCAGCGGTTGTGACTGTGTCCCTCGGTTAGACAAGCTGCTCTAGGGAGATGCCGCTGGAAGGCCTGATTTTCTGTGGTTTTTCTGGGATTTTCTATTCCTGGAAGGGGCAAAAAAAAGGAAGATCCATTAGAAACCTGGCTTTGGTTAAATAAGGAATAGCTTGCATGAATGAATGTGCCTTCCAAAGGGGAAACACGTAGTAAATACTTGGAGCTGTCTTCATGAGCAGATGTGTTTGAGGGTGTGCGTTTGAACTTTATATATAATACCTGAGCAATCATGACGTCTACAGCTGGGTGCTGGCTGCAAACGAACATCCTTGTGCCTTGAAGTCCCTCCTGATTTAGTGCCATCCATCTCCTGCTCTCTTGCGTCCCCTCTCCTGTATCTGCCAACCCATGAGCACCTTACCTTGGCCAGCCAGGGCAGGGTGGGAACAAATCAATGCTGCTTGTTGAGAAGATGTTTGTGGAATTGGACTTCATGTCAAACCCAGCTCAAATTAATCTAGTGAAAGAGTTATTTTTAGCACCAGGGGTGGATGGAGGCCCACAAGATACGTGATCTGGATGCTGATGAGGATTGTAGGACAGGGACACTTTGGTGTGTGGCTTTTTTTGGCTGGGTCATTGTCTCATAGCACAAAGAAGGACAATAGGAGCTGAAATCATCTTAAACAGCGATACAGTGAGAGCGCGTCAAGTGTGAGTTGATGAAGGACTTTACAACTGCCTGGGGATTAGGATAATCCTTTGGGCCAGTTTAGGGGCACAGGGGCTGAAAGCCAGAGGGGCAGAGGGATCAGAGGGCAAAGTGGACTTGTGGCAGGGACGGATCTGTTCTCATCCCTTCTCCCTCCCTGCTTGGCCTGGGCTCATGCTTGGGGGGTCCCTGCAGTGGCTCTGTGCCACAGTGGTGGTGGTGGTGGTGGTGATGCTCCAGCTGCAGTCCATGAGGAGCCTGTTCCTCCTAGCTGATGTGGGAGCACCTGCAGGCACTAATTGGCTCTGTTATGCACCTATAATTGGGTGCCATCAATAACCCACCGAGTCTGCTCCGCTGCTTAATGAGGTCCATCATGCTCTCAGCATCGAAGAAAATATCTTAAACTGTACAAAGTTAGAAACTGCTGTTTCTGGAGAGCACCTCACGGCATGGAGCCAGTTCTCCCAGGGGTGATGTGACACATTGCTCCTGGATCTGGCCGTGCCCCTGCCTGGGAGCAGCTATTCCCTTCCCTCTAAAAGTGCGATGGTTTGACTCTCTCGCTGTGGGTCACAGCCTCTCACCTTCCCTCTGAGAGGACCAGCTATCAAGCAGAATTGCATTTTAATTTGGCTGCTTATTGCTGGGATAACACATGCATAACGCTGGAGCAGATGGCTGAAGTCACAGGGGATTAAGTCATTAACCACGGTGGCCAGCAGCAGAGATGCTCTCTGGGGACCACAGTCTTGTATTTTCTTCCTCGTGTTCAGACAAGACAAAAATAAAAATAGGGGCCAGGAAGGGCAGGGTAGTTGCTGGAGGCACACAGAAATGTCTCCTGAGATGCCAGCTTCTAGAAGAGATGAGGTTAATTTGTGGCCAGAAGACAGCTCATATGCTTCTTGAATTTTTGTTTAGGTTATTTCTGAGACTGGGATGAGCCTGCAAAATAACAACCCTTCTGTAACACATCACAGGAGGCAGCAAGCACCTGGAGTGATGCACTAGCATGAAATGGGACCCTCTGAAATGCATGAATTCCTCTGGCCTCCTTGGGCATCTTCCCTCCATAGTGAGGGTGCTCAGCACAGGATGGGCTTTGAAAGTTGACCTGTAAAAGCTCAAATGATGATTTACCTTTAGTTACCTGTGCGCTTGTAAGGGAAGAAAATTGCTTCTAATTTTTTATCCTGATTTTAATTATGTTTTCTTTAATTTGTAGCTTGGCTTCTTTTCTTGTCTCTCTTATACCATTAAAATTAGCCTTAATTTAATATTCAGCCCTTTAAGGCACATGATTTCCCCACGGAGGAAAGTCAGTGCTTAATTCTGGAGGCACTTTGTGACCTCCTTTGTGTTTTACTTGAATTTCTTTTTGCCACGTAAGTGGTGACTAAGTCCGGCCCTGCACAGGGCTGGGGAGCACCCAGTTCATGGTGCCCTGGATCAGGTCCTTCCTCGCAGGTCTGGTCCTTCTCCCACCCCTATGCAGCAATTTGTTGTCTGCTGCATTAAGTGTCCTCCCTGACATGATTTAAAACCCATTAGACACGTCTTTAGCCATTCATTTCTGCAGAGTGGCAATGAATATTTAAACGCAACAAACTCTTGCGTGCCTGCCCCGCTGTTAAGCCTTGTTTCCCGAGATCATCAGCACTTAATGCCAGAGACTCTCTGTCCCTCTCCAGATCGCTTTGGTCCTAGCGCAAGAGATGAAACCCGCAGTGCTACGGCATTTTATCCTATCTAGGATTCAGCCTAGCCTGAGATGGTCCCTCAGCCCAGTGAGCAGCCTTTGCTGCATCCCTGTGGGACCCTCCATCCGCCTGAAAATGGTGGGAGATGTTTGAAGGTCTTGCTGAGAATGCAAGCCCTTCACCTGCCTGCGCCGGGGCTCCTGGGTCTCTCCTGGGCAGGGGAGGTCTCCCACCAGCCCTTGCTGCCCCGGACCTGCTCACCTTTCTCTTCCAAACCGGATTTATGGGGCCAGGCGACTATTTTATTATCAGGGGACTGTTCTATTGCTGTTGTCATCTCAGGTGCATGTTAAGCATTTCAGGTATAGCGTATTGCCCGGTTCTTATATCTTGCTCCCATCAGTGACTAATATGTATTTCTTTAGCAGATGACGGATGCTCTCCCTCTCTGCAGGGCTGTCTCCTGGTGAGGTGAGGCTCCTGGGTGCCGGCCTTAGCCAGCTCCCCCATTTTAACAATTTGAAGCATATTTTCTGCTCTTTGAAGTTAGTCTTACAGAGGCCAGAGGGATGGGCACTTTGAAGCGCGTATAATGGTAAGGAAGATGTTGCTGTAGTCCTAGAGACATGCAAGGGAAAGTGATGAACTGGATGGCTGTTTTACATGCAATAAAAATGAGAAACAAATGATATCTAGGGGAGAGGGAGAGAAAAGATTTTGGGAAGGCAGAAAGCTTGTTCCTAGCTGCTGCCGGGGCAAGAGCAGAGCATCCCTCTAGTTATCAGTGGGAGAACAGCATGTGCATGGGGCTCTGGCATGCGTGTAGGGTGGTGCTGGATGGAGTCAAAGAGAAACCTGGACTTTTTCTTCCCAGTTATCACCTTAACCAGGAGCTTCCCTGGTCTCGGTGCAATAGCCCCTTTCCCAGGTCCTGCCCTCTTTCTGCCAGGTTCATGCTAGGACTTAAAATTTAAATTTTTATACAGTCCTCTTATGGCCATGTTTGAACTGGGGGAAAAAAAGCCTAATTTCTCTGGCTTGAATGGATGTTTTAATTAGGCAAATGTGCTTCATTTGAAAGCAGTGCCACAGGTGTGTGTACTGGCTGCTGAAGCTCTTCCACTGGTTAAAAAAACCCCAATGTCTTAAAGAGCTGCTTCTGGTAAATGAGAGACTGGGAAAGATTTTACAGCTAAATAATGAATCTCTTGAAATGCAAAGGCTTGCTTTTTTTTTTTTTTTCTTTGATTGTGCCATTTGTTCTAGTTTCTATAATAAGTTTGTTTGGGCTTGCAGATTTCCAACTGGAAGCTGCTTCTCTTGGAGCAGGGCTCCTGCAGCACAGCGGGGGGGAGTGGTGGGGGGGTGTGGAATTGCAGAAGATACGGGGCTTGTACATGTGCTTTGCTGCTAGGAAGAGAAAGGTTTTGCCCCAGAAATGTTTCCCCTGTCGAGGTGGGAGCAATGTGCTGTGACAGAAGCTGGATGTTGTCGGTTATTTGCTTTTTGGGGGCTCTTCATGGGGACCCTGCGTTACATGGGGTGGGTTGTGGGCTGGGAACAACTGTGGTGTGATTCATTTCATTTAAATGTTTGGGGAACAGCCAGCTTCTAGATTTTAATTAGAAATACTGCTTGTCGCTGGCCGGGTGTTTATGGGATGATGTAGCTCTCTTGAAATCACTGGGACCTCCGTGTTTGCAGCAGGGTGTATCAGCCGCGGAGCTTGGGAGGGCACCAAGGGCGGATGGTGGCTCTAGGAGCTGACTTGTTCTGGAGGAAGAAATCACCTACGGATCATCTGTAAAGCAGATGCTGAAGGACAGGGATAGAGAGCCGCATCTCTTGGGAAGAAAGCCGGAGCAGGGAGTTAGGCTAGCAGATAGCTTTCACGTTAAGAGCAAAGTGGAAAGGCATTAAAGCACCTCGCTGCGGTCTGAGGATGTTATTTTTTTAACAAAAAGATGAGAAGCAGAATTGCTCTATTTAGAGAGCCTGTGGTCATGTCGCTGCCGAAACTTGAGGCGATGAAGACTGAAGGAACTTGCAAGCTCGCCCATCTGCTGTCTGGTGACACCGTAACTCTGAAAATAGTGATTTCTCCTGACTGCTGGCTCCGTCTGGCTCCACTGGCTGCCCAGACGAGCTTTCCTGTCTCCTCGCTGGGAGTGGGCTGCAGGTTCATTAATAACTGTCAGGAGGCACCTCCACATCAGCAGCCCTGAGTGCACTCGAGTCCAGGGAGATCAGCCCCTGCGTGGGGAGGAGTGGGAAATTCTCCTGTGGGTTTTAGCATAGCCGATGTCTTCCATCTAAATGAGATGTCGTAATAACCTGGCTTTGGTCGGATAATGTGCGCTGAGTCACAGAGCCGCATCCCTGCTTTAGGCTTGACTCAGTGGCTGATGCTTCAAGATGCTCCCGTTGACTGCAGCGAGATTCCAGCGGGGCATTTTATGAACTGTAATAGGTTGCGCATTCCATGATGCTTTATTTTTTCCCTTCTTGCTGCTATTCCTTTACCAAGCACCCATGTACAATAATGCTATTCCTTTTCTACGTGCAGTCCACGGGATGCTGGCTGTCCTGCGAGCGGCTGGAGACCAACCGCAGAAGCACCCAATGTAGAGGGGAGCTCATATATTGTTTATGAGCGATTCAGAGGTGTTGGCAGCCGAGCTGCCATAAATCTGAAGCTGTCATCAGACATGTGGGAAAATGTCTTTTAAACCTTGGGTGTTTTACATGGCATGCCGTGTTAGTGGCTTTGTCAGATTTGGGTCAGGCTGCCATGGGAGAGGATGGCAGCCCTGCAGGCAAGGGGGCCTGCTGCTTTCTCCGGTGGGCGTGGGTCTCCTCGTCCCATTCTTCGTTCCTTCTCCTTCCTTGTTGAATGGCATAAATAATGCATCCTTTTCCCCTTCTAGTGCTATTTTTAGGGCCAGGATTCTGGGTTAACTGAGCATACAACTCGCCGCCAGCTCTTGGGTGCTCGGCAGGCAGCTCATTCCTGCTCCTGCGTTGCAAACTGCTTTTGCCAGTGCTGGTTTGTTTTTTTTTTTTTCTTTTTTTTTTTTTTTTTCAGAAGTTGCTTAACTGGGTTTTTTTTACCTTTGCAGTAAACAGATGTGTTTTTATAGTCTGTTCTCCAGTGGGCTTTTTACATTTTACTCAAAGGGCTAAGAATTTCCATAAAGTAAATCACACACAATTTTTTCCTTAGAAAATGAGAAAGCTAATTCATTCATTCAGTCCTCCTGCCAGAGCCCTTCCAAGATCTCCTCTCGCAGCTCTTCTGTGGGCAGTCACTGGGACTGGGTGGAGAGGTTTCCGTTTGGGGGAAGAAGCTGCTTCACTGATGCCAAACCGCTTTGTGCAAAGGTGCTGATTTGGATGGATTTTATGCACGTGTGTGTATGTGGGAGCTGGGGCCGGTATCTGCTTTCTGGCAGTGTCAATGGAAGTTAATAGTCACGCAATATAAAGCTGTAGGGGAATATAATACTCCGACATGTCCCCTGGGATGTGTCTTTTCTCCCGGTTGCATTCCTGTAGCTGGAAGAGGAGAGGCTCTGCTGGAACCAGCACCAGGAAAATGAGCAGCTGGACCAAAGGCAGCAGCCGCCCCTTGGGAGCGGGACTCCCACATCCCGGCCGCGTGGTGCCTTTCCCGACAGTCCCTGTCCCCTTTCTGCCAGGCGACTCATGACCCGGCTGGAGGACATGCGCCGGAGCGTGCTGGGGGACGGGGTGAACCGCTGCATCCTCTGCGGGGAGCAGCTGGGGCCGCGGGGATCCGCCTGCGTTGTCTGCGAGGACTGCAAGAAGGTGAGGCATCTCCCTGCACCCGGCTGCAGCCCCCCAGAACCAAACAGCACCCACCACCCTCCCCTGGTGCAAAAATGGGCACCTCGGTCTTTCAGTGCGTGTTTCGATTGCCCAGCATCTCTCCGCATGTGGCACAAGGGGACATCCCCGGGGGTTTCTGCAGTCACTGGTGTTCGGGCTGGGAGAGCTTTTGTTAACCATCTCTCGTAAACCTCACGCTCCCGAGGGGTGGTGCTGGTGCGGTGGGACCTTTGGGTGGCCGCGGCGTCCCCGCTGCCACTCGGTGCTTTGCTTTCTCTGCAGAACGTCTGCACCAAGTGCGGGGTGGAGACCACCAACAGCCGGCCCCATGCCATCTGGCTCTGCAAGATCTGCAGTGAGCAGCGGGAGGTGAGCGTGGCAGCCCGGGTGCTTCCCCTGCTCCGGGTGTTTTCACCAGAGTGGGGACACGGTCTCTGCCCTTGGTTTCATCCTGTGCTCTGTTCCCACCCCAAACTTCTGAGATGGCACCAGCTCCAGACTGGGGGATGCTCCCAGGGACCTTCAGCCTGTCCCCCAGCACCACTAAACCTTGCCAAGCTACTTGAGCCTGGTTCTTATAGGATGATCTTGTTTTCTGTATAAAATGCCATTATTTTTTTTTTTCTTGAAAACAAAGTCTTGGGGCTGAAGAGGCTATTGTGGCCAGAGATCGGCTCCTTGCCACCTACAGTGTGCAAAAGCTGAAGACTTAATTAACAGGAGGGGATGCGGGATTGCTGCAGGGTACTGGGGTGCACGTCCTCGGTGTTGCCTGCTGGAGGCAAGACCCTGGTGATGCAGGGGGTTGAAGACTGCCAGGTCCGCACCCAGTATCCCCCTGAGACGTGGGTGCCACCTCGCTGCCTGCACCCCCCAGGTGTGGAAGCGCTCCGGTGCCTGGTTCTTCAAGGGTTTGCCCAAGCAAGTGCTACCCCAGCCGATGCCTGTCAGCAAGAACAAGGGACCCCAAGCCCCGAGTGAGCCCAGCCCGTTGGAGCCACCCACCCAGGACCCAAAACTCCTCTCCCGTGCACCCACCCGAGGTAGGTGACAGCGGGTGCTGACTCCCTCATTGCAAGGGGCAGGGGTCCTGCCAGCAAGGTGTTGGGTGTCCTCCCCATCGTTTGCAAGGGTGAGCCCTAGCAAAAAGCATCCAGAGCAGTTGCATAGCTGCTGCCTGTTTTCAAAAGGATGCAGAAATTGCCCTGCTGCCCTCCCTGCCTGCTGAGGCTTTCTCCAGGCTGTCCAAGTTGGGATGGCTGGGTTTGCAGGGACATCCTCAAGCCAAGCAGCCCTCGGTGGGGATCTGGGGTGCCCGGCTGGGGGTTTGGGCATCACCTGGGTATGAATATGGCAATGCAGAAGCCTAGAAAAAATAAGAATAAAAGAGGAAAAGTGGGAAAGAGCGGCAGAACATCCCAGGTTGGTGTTGGCGGGGTGGGCAGGCTGCAGCTTCACCGCTTCTTGCTCTGTTTGTGCTCTCAAGGCCAGGCAGACGCCAGGCCCCCGGCCGAGCAGGACTCCGATGGTAAGCACCGGCGTTTGCACCCTCCCCTGTGCCATGCCGCCTGTGCTGCACCCCCTCTTTCCCTCCCTCCTTGCCCTGTGGTGTTTTCCCGCAGGGTTTCCCGTGGGAGGCTGCAGCGGCAGCAGCAGGACCTCTCCTTGCTGCTGCCACCCACCGCACAGGGACTGAGTTATTCTGGGGCTTTCCCCACCTACTGCACACGCCTGGGCTGAAACACTGCATCTGAAAGCGCTGAGCAGAATTGCCTCTGTAGGTGTCGTTTCCTGCTGCTGATTGGCAGGTGTTTTTCTGGTTATTTAATGACAGTCCTTAGAAAACCTCCTGTGGAAACTTTAGGAGCCTTGGGGGGGGCTTGTGCATGTCTGCGAGGGATGGAGCAGCCGAGCTGCTCTGCTCTGGCCACACCAGGTTTCCTCCACCGAAGCTCTTGGAGCTGGTGCCTTGCGCTCAGGCTTGTGCTGTGCATGGGTACCCAAGCAAGGTGAGGATGCAGCAGCCTTTTTCTTAGGGTTATACCTTGCTCCCTCCAGCGCTCGCAGCCCCCCAAGGCTCTGCCCGCATCATTGTGTTTAATAGCGATGCCAGCTGAGGGGGTTGCGTTAAGCGGCTGCAATCAGTGCCTCCTGCTTACAGGCATGAAGCCATGTTCCTCACCAGGGCTCACCAATTTCTAACCTCATACGTGCCCTGTGCTGCTGTGGACCCGCATCCCCCAGATGCTGCTGCTGGCACTGGCAGGAGCTGGGGTCGGGGGTCCTGCTGCTCCCTGGCTGGCCATGCTGCTGGGAGACAATTTTGAATAATAGCCCCCCATTTTCAGAGTTTGGCATCGGAGTGCCGAGGTGATGAGATTACCTGACCCTTCCTCCAGCACCGGCTGCTCCTGGATGGGCGATGATTATGCTGGAAACAGTCCAGTGGCTGCAAACCCTCCTCTTCCTCTCCCCTTCCTCAGCTGTGTGGAGGAGGAGCGGGGGAGGCTGAGGACACAACCCCCCACCGGAGTGGTCCCCTCCATCCCACCCTTCCTTTAGCCCACGGTCTGTTTTGGCAGCCATAACCCAGCTGGCAGATGGCCTTCGATGTGCAGGAGGTTTTAACGGCCAGTTCCCAGGGCCGTGTTGTGTTTCCCAGTTGTGGCTGCCTGCGGCTTCGCTCCGTGTTGGGTGGGCTGCGGGCAGGCAGCATCTCAGTGGGCAGGGTGGGTGGCACAGCCTTGTGCCGAGACGTGCTCCCTCCACCCTGCAGCATCGCTTGCAATGGGGACGCGTCCTGCGTGTCTGGGTGGTGGTCTCGGGGTGAGCTCCAGGTAGGGGGTACCGACGGAGGGGTACCCGGGCTCAGCCGCAGCCCACGCTATCTCTCCCAGTACCGGCGGGAGGCTCCAGTTGAGCCTTGGCAAGGCTGTGCCCAGCCTGGTTGTGCCGAGTGATGCTCTTCATCTTCCCACGCAGCAGCAGTTGGGGAAACCACTTAATTAAGGCTATTTAATTGCGATGGTAACTAGTGCCGTTAAGCTTCCCGGCCCAACAACAGGCTGCTTTTATTAAGCTGCTGGCTCGCCTGCTAGTCGGGGAGGGTTTGTCAGGCTCTGTAGCTCCCTCCTGATGATCAGCATGCTCATGACATGCCCATGATTTTCCTAAAGCTCCCTGGGAAAATTATTTATTGCATTGCTATTTCTGCACCGTGGGGCTCCTGGTTGTGGATGCTCATTTCCCCTCCTCTTCAGTATCACGGCAGTTTTACCCCCCCCCCCCCCCCTCCTGCAATCTGTTGCGTTTTGCTTTCTCCTTGTGCCTGGCGACCCTGACAGCCCAGCCAAGGATAAACATCCCATTTATGTCACAGCAAAGATTTATACCTGGCATCTGCAGCACAAGCCAGGTGAGCGCCGAGAACTTTTCCATCACATCCGTGGGTTGCAATTTATCACCACAAAGAGGTCTCGGCACCCTGGCACGTGCGGGTGGGATTTATCCATTGGGACGGCTGCTGCTGGGTGGATGGAAGAGAGAGGCAAAGGCAGCTGTCACCTTTGTCTTGCTAATAAATGGAAGGTGATCAGCAAAAAGAAAATATGATCCCCCTGTCCTGGGGACCGTGGACCTGTAACACCATTAGGGGTTTGACGGGTGCTGAGGACCAGCTGATGGATGCCTCTGGTCTTGTTTTCCCATGGGGCTCTCGTCCTGTGGTGTCCCCATGCTTTGCTGTGTCCTTGTGCGCCAGTTTGATGGTGCAGAGCCCTCCTGCCACCCCGCAGGTTCCGGATGGCTGGCAGTCCCCAATGCTCTGGGGGTGATTCTGCAGTGACCATACCCATCCTCCTCCTCCTCCTGCTTGTGCCCAGTCTGGGCATCACCCAAGCGGCTCCTCTCAGGGCTGGCTTTGGGGATGGATGGGTGGTCGGGGTGTGAGTCTCACTGCTGCCTTTATCCCTCTCCCCGCAGGCAGTGATGCGACGGCGGCTGCCCGGGGGAACTACATGGCGCCCGGCCGCAAGCCAGCCGAGGGCAGGCTGGGCCCGGGTGGCAGTGAGTACGCCGGCGGGGACGCCCACAGCCGCGACCATGCTGCTGAGAGTGGGGTCAGCAGGAGCCCTGGTGAGAGCTGCGCTTCCACGTGCTCGTGCACGCTTCTGCATGCTCACGCACGCTTCTGCGTGCATGGAAGGAGAGGGTTGGGGGGCACAAAGCCGGCAGCCGTACGAGGGTTATATCTGCTTGGCGTGCAGTGCTAAATGATGCTGAGGGATTTCATGCCGCAGAGCACCAGTGCCTGCTTCCCGTGCCGCTCGTCTGCTGTTTTATACTGCTTTGTGGGGTTTGCTGATAGGGAGGTCCAGGGTGTTAGTGGGATCGGGGGGAGGTGTGGAGGGGGATCCCTGTCCCTTCCCCTGCGTGCAGGGAGGAGAGGCAGGATCCTGCTGTGCTTTTCCCTGCAAAGGGGCATCTTGTGGCCCATGGAAGGACGTGAATTTGAAAAGCCCCATGCATGATGCAAGAGCTGTAAGTGAAGAAAGGAGTGGGCTTGGTGCTTACCAGGCTAATTTTAAGCAGAGATGCAATTCAGCTGAGTTGGGACCCTAAGCAGAAGCATTTTTCATGCTGCTGTGCCCCCTGCCCCCCCTGCCAGTGCCAGGGCAGGCACATGCCCTGCAAGGTGCTGCTGAAAGGAGTAGGCATGGGCCAGCCCTGCCTATGGGAGCCTGTGTTTCGCTGGCGGGGGATATTGTTTCTTGCTTCACGAAAATTTGATGTGCTCCAAGCTATTGTAAATGGCTGTGATACAAATGGGTGGCTGACAGTGTTCGGTGGGGCCTGGATATTCCCTAGGTGCCTCCAGAAAGGGAAAGGTACTTGCAGACACCACTTTTCATCTAGGAGCTGAGCTTGCGAATTTAACTGGTGAAGCTTAAAAATGGCTGGAAAATGTCCAAATCCTTTGTAATTCCTTGGGAAAGAAAGGAATATTTAATGGCAGGATAGTTGGGTAGTAACTAGAGAGAGGGCTGCCTGTGCTTCTGTTGTAGGGAGCCGGTGTTTTAATTCATTTTTGGGTGGATAACCCTTGTGAGGGTGTACCTGTGCCCCATCACTGCCTCTGGATGTGCATGCACCCCAGGGGGGACGCTGTGCAGTGGTGGTCCTGGGGCATTGCTGCCAGTCAGGCATGCAGGGGGATGGGGCTGTGATGGGCATCGCAGCGATCCTCATGGGTTTGTTCACCTTCCAGCTCAGACCAGTGCCTGGCTGCAACCACATCCATCCTCCTTGTTCCACCTTTCCTGCATGTCCCTATTCTGCAGATGGATCGGTACAGCACGGAGTTCCCACTAGTGAAGTGCTCCCTGCTCCAGCCCGGGCTGCACCTGCTCCCCACAGCACTGGCCCCAAAATTGTGTGGGGTTGAGCCATTATCCCACCACCTCCATCCATCCGTCAAACCTCTCTCTTCTCTACTGACTCTGGCTGCCCTTCCCTGGCCAATTCCAGCTGTAACCCCCTCTGCAACACAGGCAAAGCCCCTGGGGCCTGAAACGCCGTTGTTGATCCTCCCCTCTCCTTGCAGGTGTGAAGCGGACCAACTCCCTGCAAGCCCCACGGCCACCCCCGCCAGCCGCTGCTGGCCCCACTCCTGCTCCTGGTCCAGCAGCACCCCCAGGTAGGATGTGATGGGGATACAGCCAGGATGCTCGGTCCCTGGGGGGAGTCGCCCAATGCCCTGCCATGGGGTGGGACCCCCCTCCTTGGGCCAGCGCTGGGGTAGGAGAGGGATGGAGAGCATCACCCAGGTAATGGTGCATCTGTCCCCAGCGCTGCCAGCAGCGGGAAGACCGGGTCCCGGGGCGGCTGGCCGGTTCCCGGAGAGACAAGGTAAAATTCGGCTGCCTGAGAGGGACTGGGGGGCGGAGCGTGCCAGGGGATAACAGGGTCCCTCCCGCAGAGACCCCACCACTGGGACCCCCGGAGCCAGCCCGTGCTGCCACCAGGGAGGAGCGAGGAGGGGGCTACACCGTGCCCCCCGCCAGAGAGGAGAGGCCAGCCCGTCAGCCCCCCACCTTCCCACAGCCCCCTGCCGTCCCCCCGGTGCCTGCTGCACCGCTGCGGCAGCCGCCCCAGGAGGAGGAGGAGGAGGATGCCAACAGCTACGACTCTGATGAAGGCAGTACGTACGCGGGGTGCCTGGCCAGAGGGGAGGGAGCAGTTTCATTGGGAAACCTGGGATTTTGAGGAGGTGGTTGCTGTAGGACTGGGACTCGCACTGTAAGGTCATTGGCCTCTGGCAGGGAGAATCGTCAGGGAATGCTGCTTCCCCGTGGGGCTTCAAGCTGGGGCAGGGTCTCACAGGCTGTCCCTGCTTGGTTAGTTCAGCACACCTTGTGGGATCTTCAGTTGGTTTTGCACCAAATTACTTGAGCCCTGAAAAGTGCTGGTTTAGGCTCTGTGCTCACATGACCTTCCCATTTCCAAACTTGAGCCCTGAAGGCAGCTGCTTCTTTCCATCAGAGCATCCTTTGCTGTGAGAAATGCCACTGGACCTGTCTGTAGGAAAGGCTTGGTGGCTTCAGTACCTTTATGCCATGAGATCTCAGTGTTCAGTTATTTGCTCCCCTAAAAGAGGATTTGCTGCATGAGGGTGAGCGTCTGTAGCAGGGCAGTGCTTTGCCTGTCCAGCCTGTTCCCACCCAGGATGGGAAGAGCTGCTCTGGATATCTATGCTGGGATAGGAGCAGATGGACCCAGCTGAGGTTCTGTGCTAACCCTTCCTCCCTGTGATCTTCTCCCAGTGAGCATGTGAAGACAAGCATGAGCTGGTTTCCAACAAGCAAAACAGGGGCCAAACGCCGAGCCCCAAGCCTTAGGAGGACATGCTGGCCACCCGAACTGAAACACCTTCTCAGGATGGTCCTGGGGTGGCATTGTCCTGAGAAGGGTTTGTAGGGTTACACTGTCCTTTGCTTAGTGAGTATTAAAGATGGCTCAAAAGCTTCAAACTGCCTTCCCTGGGCAGTTCCAGCTTTGTAAAGCTTTGATGACCAGAGCTCGTGAATCTGGCTGGATTTGTGTGTGGCAGTTTGGCTGATGCCAGCGGAGTCTCACATGCATTAATTGGCTTTTACATTTGAGCCGCAAACCTTTCTAATTATTACTAATCAGGGCTGATTAAACACGGTTATTGGCTAGGGTTTTAACAAGGTCCTGTTTCCAACTCCTCCTCCTCTCTCTCGCTGTCAGCTACGCTGGGAGCGCTGGAGTTCAGCCTGCTCTACGACCAGGAGAACAGCTCCCTGCACTGCACCCTCATCAAGGCCAAAGTAAGTGGTCCCCTTCTTTCACCAATTTAAGTCTGTCTGGCTCCCAGCTCCCCCAGTGCGATGGGATGGAAGCAGCGTGGCTGTTGGCTGGGTCTGTTTCCCCGGGAGAGCCAGCCCAGCCCTGCTGGCACCGCTGCTCCTGGCTGGGAAGGAGAGGTCTGTAGGGCTTTTCCTTGGATGGATCCAAGATGTCTGTGGGGCTTTTCCTTGAGTGGGTCTAATTTTCAGCACATTGTGGCACCCACACGTGCTCGGGGCAGAGAATGAGGGTCTTGGCTTGCTGAACACATTTTCTCTGTACTGAGTTGCTTGATGGGTAGCTTTTTCTCTTCTCTGGCTGTGCTTAAGGAGGATTCATGCACCATGTTTTCTTTATTATCTTTTAGGGTTTAAAACCAATGGACTCAAACGGTCTGGCAGATCCCTATGTCAAACTGCACCTCTTGCCTGGAGCCAGCAAGGTGAGGCTTTGCCTGGTTTGGATGTGGTTTTGGGCTGGAGAAAGAGCAGAGGTTTCTCGAAGCCCCCTGAAGTCCCTTCCTTGCGTCAGACATCCTCCCCTTGATTTCTCCGTGCAGTTGCTCACTGCTGCTATTTTACCCCGGAGCTATCTCTGAAAAGTGATGATGCTTGCAGATGCTCTCCCATACCCAAGGAACAGCTCATCCTGTAGACAGGGTTCTTCTTAGGGATGGAGGGGAGCTCCAGAGGAGGTGACACTGTTAATGCATTGCAAAACATCTGACACAAAATCTAATTATTACCTGAGTTTGAACAATCCATTTGCTTTGACGCTGCAGCATGTTCTCGTTAGAGCTGTGAAGAAATAACCATTGAGTAAACTCTGACTCCCTCCCATCAAAGAGAGCCCTGGAAATCTCACTTCCTAGCCCAGCTAAGCTGATCTTGGTGGGGAAACTTTTGAGGAAGGGATGACTACCGCTGACCCAGTGCCCAAGGGGTGCTGGAGCCTTGCTTGAGGGCTGCAAAGCTTTTTCCTGCAGCTGAATTTTGCTCAGAGAAGCTAAGTGTAAAACAAGGGGGAAAACTGATAATAAAACCATTGGATTGGTATTTACAGGTTTACTTTATGTGCAGGGACTTCCTGGTCTTGTGCAGAGTAAATCAAGGTGTCGTGATTGGGAATTGCTTTGATTTCTATTGCTCTCTTGTTTGCTGATCTTTCTTTTCTTTTTTTTTTTTATTTTGCATGTCTGTTTGTGAAAGAACCATGAACAAGTGACAGGGCTCCTTGTTTCCCAAGCTGTCATCTCCTTTAGACCACAAGAGCCATTACCCAAGCCCCACACAGCCTGCCCTGTGCAACTTTTTCTTGTACAAGGGTCCTTGAGGGAGTAGACCCCAGACAATGAAAAAACCTGGGCAGCGAATGCTGCCCTGGCCACTGCAGGCAACTGGGTCCCTGGTGCTGGCATAAAGGTCCACCTTGTAAGGTTGGTGATGTTCACCTGGAGTTGATGGCTCACTGGTGCGACAGCCTCAGCAGGCAGCGATGACATCCTGCAGAGCCTGGTCAAACCACCTCTTGTGAGCCAGAGGTGATGGAGCATCTAATTTACACTCCTCTGCCAGGAGCCGAAATTTAGGTGGGGAGGAGTTCAGGGGTGTCATTATGCCGTGTTTTGTTTTGATGCTGTAGTCAAATAAGCTGAGGACGAAGACGCTGCGCAACACCCGTAACCCTGTGTGGAATGAGACCCTGGTGTACCACGGCATCACAGATGAGGACATGCAAAGGAAAACCCTCAGGCAAGCAGAGGAGCTGGGGTATCCTGGGGTGTGGTGGGGACTGTGGGTCTCCTTGCATGGAGCATCGCAAGCCAGCCTTCCTCAGGAGGGCACTGGCAGCGAAGTGCAGGTGTTGATAGAGCACCTGGAAATCCAGAGGTTTTGGTCAAAATCAGCATGCTTCATGTGAACATGCTGATTTTGATGGTCCTTTTTTAAAAGAGAAAGAAAGGCATTTTGACCCTGTCATTTAATATTAAATTATTGGCATTACTATTATTATCAGCATAGAGATTGCTATATTGCGTATCTGTGCGTGATTTGACAGTGTCCCAGCAAAATATTCAGATGTCTCTAAAAATTTTTGGCATTTCCTTCCTACAGGAAATTTCCACCTTTTGATTTCTTGCCCCATCACAGAGCACGTATTAAAAATGTTGATTTTTCTGGCAGACCAGAAGTTTGGTTTTCTGACTGCTTTTGGTCAGAGGAGAGCCAGATGGGTGGAGGCTTTGGTGGTGCTTTGCTTTGTCCACCCCTGAGCAGTGCCCTTGCAGGAGTGGTTTTGTGCTCCAGAGTCAGTTTCTGCTCCAGCCTGGTTGATGTTCACCTTTCCTGTTCCCTTCAGGATCTCTGTGTGTGATGAAGACAAATTTGGCCACAATGAGTTTATTGGAGAAACTAGAGTTTCCTTGAAAAAACTCAAAGCCAATCAGAAAAAGAACTTCAACATCTGCTTGGAGAGAGTAATACCAGTGAGTTTCTAGGAAATTTCTTTCTGCTACTGTTAATGTTGAGGTTGCTAATAAATGGCATTTGGAGGAGTTAGCGGTGAGCTTGGAGCTGGAACCAGCCAAGAGCTGTAGGTGCCTGACTTCATTGGCATCTTTAGGAGTTGGATTCCCACCCATGTCTGGGCTGATGTGACACGTCAAGGCCAGGAGATAAGAGCATGGTGGGAATCCAGGGGAAGTGACTCCAGGGACCTCTCCAGTGGCCGCAGATCTGCTGGTGTTGCCAGCCTATGCTGTTGTATGTCACTGTGGAGGAGAGGGCAGGTTGCTTCATCCCCGAGCTCTGCTACCCAGAGCTGTGTCTGCTGAGCTGCAGTTTGATGGAGCAGGTCATAGAATCATTTAGGTTGGAAAAGACCTTTAAGATCATCGAGTCCAACCATTAACCTAACACTGCCAAGTCTACCACTAAACCATGTCCCTAAGATGCATGTACCTGAGCTCTCTTCCACTTCTGAGGCCAGCAAAAGGGCTGGGCTGGGCTTCTGGGGGTGTCTTTGCTGTAGGACGGTGCCTCTCCCAGCTGCGGTTCCTCATGGCAGTCTCTCTTTTTCCCTTCCCCATTCAAGATGAAGCGTGCTGGAACGACTGGCTCATCCCGTGGGATGGCACTGTATGAAGAGGAGGTAAGAGTCCTTGGAGGACGACATGCTCTGTGCATGTTTCACCCATTGTCTTTCATGTATGGGCCCCTCTTTTCCACTCCCCCGCCGCCCCGGGGATACAAGTTTCCCTTGTGTCCATCTTGTCTCATCTGCTCTGCAGTTGACCGGCTTCCTCACTCAGCCCCTGTGTCCCCATCTCTGGTCGCTTCCTTTTGCAGGTAGATCGTGGCGGGGATGTGGAGGAGCGTGGGAAGATCCTCGTCTCCCTTATGTACAGCACCCAGCAGGGTGGCCTAATTGTCGGCATCGTACGCTGTGTGCATTTAGCAGCCATGGACGCCAACGGATACTCAGACCCTTTTGTTAAACTGTAAGTGGGAGCTGGGGCTGGTGTACTGCGGTAACACGTGGTCATGGAGCCACCCGCTGTCCTTGGGCAGTAGCTGATGGGCTGAGAGCTCCTTCCAAAACCACTGGAGAGAGGAAAGTGTTTCCCAAGCACTTTGAGACCTCATGCAGGAGTAAGCTGCCCACCAGCAATGCCTGTGGAAGGTGGTAATGCCCCCACCATGGCTGAAGCTAGGTGAGACTGACCCAGCCTTTAGATCCATCCACTCCCTGTAGGTTCCCAAACTCACAGACCCAACAGCCACCTCACAGCTGCAAAGCTGGAGGACAAGAGGTCCTCCCCAGCTCTGACCCACCAGGCCTGCAGGGCATGGGTGGCTTGACTTCCCTCTGTGCACGATGGGAACCACGTGCCCCACTTGCTGCCCCATAAGCCCACATGCTCGTTGTAGCCGGGAGTCCAGGGACTGCCCTGCCATGGCTGTCTCTCTCCTGTGCCATGTCTCCACTGCAAACAAATCGGCTTAATTAATACAGACAGTGGCGTTTGCTGCGGTTCATGCTGGTGATGCCTTGCTGTGACATGGAGCAGGTCTCCTGGAGCAGCAGTGCACCCATCGGTGCTCTCAGCTGCGGAGGCAGGTGATGGGGGGGCAGCGCTTGTCGAGTGGCTCCTGTGAACATGGGGGAATAATATAATATTAACTCAAACCTCATAAACTGCAACACAGAGAGGACCCTGCAGTCATTCCTGCCTGCGGTTTTCATTGCTGTTTTCTCTTTGCCTTCAGAAAAAACCTCTGTTCTCCCTAAAACTCATTCAATAACTCTTGTGTTGAACATTTTGCACATCTTTTTGTAGCTGAGTTGAACTGAGTAGTTTTCCTTCTTAGCCTGACTCTTGTTTTTTTATATTTTCCATTCCCATAAACAGAAGATGGTACTTTTCCATTTTTAAATCAACTTCCAACACAGGTCTAATTAACGCCAACTCTACAATTTAATTCTGGGTCTGCAGCCAGGCTGCAAAGCCCGAGCCCTACTTTTCCTCCGTGTTCTCTAGGTGAACCTACCTTGGCTGAGTATACCAGCCTGCGTGGTATTAAACACTAATGGGCTATTTTTAGCTTTTTTTTTTCTTTTCTTTTTTTTTTCCTCCATATTTCTTCCCACCTCTGTATGTCTTCCAGTGGTCAGGCTCGGTGTCTGGCCATGTGATTGCCCTTGTCTGCTGGTGACCAACCTGGCTGCTCATTTTCCATGTTCCCTGGCTGTTTCAGCCACTCTCCCATCAGCGTCAGCAGGTTCCTCCGCAGCGAAATGCAGAGTTCATCCACTTTTTTTCCATAAAACACCTACAACCATTTCTTTTAGCATGGCTTGGAGGAAAAAAAGACTTGGGACCAATGTGTGGTTTGGAAGGACATCAAGAGTGTGTGTGCAGGCTCACCGCTTTCTAGCGTCTGAATGTTACCCAGCTGCTCTGAGCAAGAGATGCTCCCCCAGAAAGGTTTCTGCTGAGCTCTGTGCAAAGCAGGTCTTTTTGGTTTCCCATGTCTCATCTGGCAATCCGGGGCGGGGGGGGGGGGGGAAATTGGGGTTTTTCCCC